TGAAAACGGCCTCCCCCGCACCCCTCGGAGGCTCTCTGGAGGCAAGAAATGGCCTGTTTGCCAATTTTTGGTCCCACCTAGAAAGGCTCAGGAGCCTGGGGAGAGAGAAAAACCGTCCTTCCCCACCACCATCCCCGAGGCCCTCTGGAGGCAGGAAGCAGCCTGTTTCCCTACTTCTGGTGGGCCCAGAAGGCCCGAAAATATCCTGTCTCCCCGCCAAAATAGTACTATAATGACAGAGGGACCAATTCTTAAGAACAAGTTAAGAGAAAGTGAATGGGTAGCTTAGTGAAGTCAGTGTCCTTGTATTAACTTCGTCTCAAACTCAGACTTGCAATTCTGATTGAAATTAAGGTTTATGTTTCTCTACCCCATAGCTGGGTCCAAATCAGCCTATAATTCAATACATTTTGGAAACCACAAAAGAAAAACATTTTAGTTTGTGCTAGTTAATTCTAAATCAATATAAAACAAATTAAAATGGACTATAATGAATCTTAAAACATTTTCACTAATTTAAACATTTAATATTAAACTTGCAAAACAGTATTTCACTGGAACTATTTGTTGTATTCCATACCTTGCTTTTTTGCTGGTCTTGGGTTTTGGTGTAGTGTGTTTTACTTTCTTCTCCTTTGGCTCTTTGGGGATCTTAGGGGTTTTGGGTGTCTTGGGTTCCTTAGGCTCCTTCTTCTCCTTGGGTTCCTTCAAATCCTTCGGATCCTTTTTCACCTTGGGTTTCTTTTTTTTCTTTTTTTCTTCCTGGGAGCCTTCTAGGGCTTTTCTGCTAGGATCCTGGTTATCAAGACCACTAGGAAAGCCTTCTTTACCAAATCCTTTGCTGGAACCTTCCGCAACAATATGATTCTTTTTCTTTTTCTTTTTCTTCTGCTGTGGTTGTAGTTCAATTGAGGGAAGGTAATCATCACTTTTCAAGAGCTGGGCATTCGGTCCACTAACCTGAGACATGTCTGGCACTGGTTTTTCTAGGAAGGGTTCTGATGGAGAATGCTAGGAGAAATAAATAAACATTAAATAACTAAATGCTTTAAATTAGTTCATGGAAAATATGCAGGTTATAAATCAATACAGAAAATACATTTCATGTTTTAAATGGAAAGCCATTCTAGAAACTGTTAATGAAGCATATTTCTGCTAGAATAGGAACTGAAACATGAAAGATAGGGTTACTTCAGTATATTCAAACCTAAATAAAAAGGGGCAAAAGGTGAATATAAGTAAGAGAATATGAAAATACACAAGATTCTTTTAACTGTAGATGTAGAATGACTTTATTGCCTTGTTCAAATTAATGAATAGCTGATGAAAATCACATAACCCTGTTTGTTATCGGTACATCAATGATTTGAAAAGGGACTGACAAATAAAATGCTATAAAAGAAAATTTGAAAAAACACACCGGCATATGTGCCATAACATTAATTTGTTCAAAATTAATAAAATTTCAAAGCAATTTAAAATGATATATGGTTCTGAAGCCTGTTGCTTATCTCCTCTGTCCGTTTTACAGCTTACATTAGAATCGTAATCTGTTGTTCTTAAAAGAATTTAGGCCATTTATTTATTTCTTTAGGATATACACAGCCAATCAAGACTCACAGCGATTGATAGCAATCCAATAAAAAGATACAACCTCTTAAAGTGACCACAATATAAGTATTAAAATCAAACTTTGTTAAGCATCTAAAGGAAAAAGTAAACACAACCAAAATATATGAAAAAATAAACAGTACAATTAAAGTTAAAATATGGCAACTATTAACTAGCCACCAAACACTCTACAGCAGAGCAGGGTCTTAAGCAACTTCTAGAATGTTAAGAGGGATGATGTAAACATAGTTCCAAAGGGGAAATTATTCCATATAGCAAAACAGTGTCAGAGAAACAGCACCTCCTTTTGCTTCACAAAATGAAATTTATAACTAGAAGCTCTTCTCAGGAAGAACAAAGCTGATGGGATGAATCTACTGGATGGAGATACCACTATTTACCATGTTTCTCCAAAAATAAGATCCTGTCTTAAATTTTTCTGAATCCCAAAATAAGCACCTTATTTTCAGGGAGTCTTATTATTTTGGGGCACATGGAAGAAACCAGAGGAAATGGCGGGGACTGGCTGCACATGCGTTTAAATATTTTCGGGGAGAGCTTATTTTCGGGGAGGCTTATTTTAGCGCATGCACTCAAAAGCCCGATTGGGCTTATTATCAGAGGATGTTTTGTTTTAGGGGAAACAGGGTAAAATCCATTGTCTCAAGCAGCTGGTGGTAATTATAGAAGTTCATGGCAAGCCACATACTCTGAGATTCTCTTTTAATCCACCACATAGTGCAGGTTTTTCAAGATGAGTTCTCTTTCATCTTCAGAAACAAATCACATAGGATTCCAGATTTACCTCAATTATAGAAAATATCTTGTTCATCAATTGTTTATAAATGAAGAGCACTTTTATGTAAGCAAGATAAATCCAGTTACGTATTGTCAAAACTACTGCTCTTCATCACTATGAAAGAAGGAATTATGAAACAAACTAATAACAAGCATTTTGATGATTTGACAAATTGGATTTTCCGCTCATATCAATAGAAATATGGCATCTCCACGTATATGGTATGTTCAGAGCAGTGGTGAAATCCAAATTTTTTTACTACCGGTTCTATGGGCATGGCTTGGTGGCTGTGGCGGGGAAGGTTACTGCAAAATCCCCATTTCCTCCCCACTCCAGGGGAAGGATATTGCAAAATCTCCATTCTCACCCCACTCTGGAGCCAGCCAGAGGTGGTATTTGCCGGTTCTTCAAACTACTCAAAATTTCCTCTACCGGTTCTCCGAACTGCTCAAAATTTCCGCTATTGTTTTCCAGAATCTGTCAGAACCTGCTAGATTTCACCCCTGGTTCAGAATTTATATATAGGTGCAAGGTGTACAAGCTGTAAATTAGTTTCATACTGTCTTTTGTTTCATAAAATTCTAAATACTTTCTTCTGGTGACTGTTTTAATATTTACATTTATCTTCTTTTTACCTAACTCCATTTTTCCAAGTTTTCTCAGTCATCCAGGTCACAGTTCTCCCAAAGGTGCTTTTTCAAGAGACAACTAGATTTTCTGGCTTTTCTTTCTTTGAAGATGTTTCGCTTCTCATCCAAGAATTTTCCAAGCTTCTTAGATGAGAAGCAATACGTCTTCAGAGAAAAACCAAAAAGTCCAGTTGCCTCTTGAAAAAGCACCTTTGGGACAACCTATTTCTTAGTAAGTTAGAAAAATGTGGGATAGACAGCATTACCACCAGATGTATTCATAACTGGCGGACAAAACACACTCAATGTGTAGTCCCTAATGGAACTTCGTCTTCATAGAGACAAGTAAGCAGTGGGGTACCCCAAGATTCTGTTTTAGGCTCAGTACTCTTTAATATCTTCATAAATGATTTAGATGAGGGAATAGAAGAGGAACTCATCAAATTTGCAGACAACACCAAGATGCCAGGAATAGCCAACACCTCAGAAGCCCAGGATACAGAAGGATCTTGACAGACCTGAATACTTGAAATTAAAAAAAGGGTAAAGCACAAAAGCAATTTAGGTTTTCAGAAAGCTGAAAGTAAAAAGTTGACCCACTGCTTAGAGAAGACTATAGAAGAATAACAGATGACGGGATAATGAAGAGCATTTCAAATCTTACTTTGCTTGTTGCTTCTCCCCAAAAGGGAACTTTGTTCAAATGGATGTAAGCAGAACAAATGACATAAAAAGAGTGGCAATCCTAAATAAGTAAAGAAATAGCTGGGAAACACCAAACTAGCATCAACAGGTGTTTCCAGGACTAGATAATTACATCTGAATCTCAAAGGAACTTGAGAATATCTCAGACTTGTGATTTCTGAGAAATTATGGTAGATAAGTGCAATGTCAGAAGATTATAGAAGGAAAAACTTAAGAAGAGAATAATGCTGGAGATGTTTAGAATAGAGAAGATGAAAAGAAATATGAAAGTTGTCTTTGTATCTCTGACTGGCCTTCATTCCTTCATTTAGAAAAAAAGCAGTATTATTCACAGGTGCCTGCAGAAGACATGACAAGGAATAATGAGTTTAAATTACACCCAGTCATATTTCCTAATATCAAGGGGTGTTCAACAATGAAATAGAATGTCTTGGAAGGTATGGACTCTCCTGTGCTGGAAGCATTTAAAGAGAAATTGGATAGCTATCTGTTATTGATGCCATAGAACTGATTCCTTCACTTGACAAAATGTTGGACTAGATCAGGGGTGTCAAACTCAAGGCCCATGAGTTGGATCTGGTCCACGGGGTGCTTACATTCGGCCTGTAGGGCCAGCCTGGAACTATAAAAGGACAGGCCTGTGGTGCCTCTTCTGGCCAAAACAGGCTGCGAGCAGCCCCCGTGCGGACTCTTTTCACCCTCCATGGCCTCCTGAAGCACTCTGCCGGCCAAAAACGGGATGTGCGGAGTCTCATGGGGCAGAGGGGGCCGCAAGTGCCCCCCCACCGCATCCCATTTGGCTCGTAGGGAGCTGCAAGAGGCATTCCACCTGGTCCCCCCATGTCTCCCCACCTGTCAGCCCACGGAGAACTACAATGCTGATCCAGCCCTCGAAGAAATCCAGTTTGACACCCCTGGACTAGATGATCTTCAGGAAAATAAGAAAAAGGCTGATTGGGGCTAGATCAGCCCCTTGGAATACCCCCAATCAACTGTTCCCAGAGGTAAACTTTAGCAACAGGTTTGTTGGTTGTGAACGACCTTACTTTTTTTTCAGCCTCTCAAATGGAGATTTCAGAGACTTTTTTCAGCCTTTGAAACTTCCTTTTCAGAGGCTGGGCGGGGCTACATTTGATGTATAAACCACACCTAAATTTTCATCCTCTTTTAGAGGGGAAAAAGTTGAGTCTTATACTCTGAAAAATACAGTATTTCTTTTTATCTTACCTAATACTTCTTTCTTCTTTTTATTTCAGGAGTCCCTGTCTGAACTTCAAATGAAAACATATAGATGTCTTATTTGTCATGCAACTGTTGCCTCCTCCTAATTTTCAACACCACTGAAATATACAGACATTTCTCTACCTATCCAGGTAGGCAGCTATGACATGATTGCCTCTTCAATACCACAAGTATGAAATACGCTTCACCCCGAATTCCATGTAATGGAGTGCATGAGTAACCTTGAGGAAAGGGGAGAGGAGATGCTGCCTAGAAAACCATCAGACGATAGAGACAAGAGTCCATACTTATTTAGCAGTCAAAGAAAGTTAGGAAGGACCAGCCCTAATGCATCTAGCAGTTAAAGTAATAGGCAGAAAAATTGTACCTGCAAGATTGTATTAATGTAGCCTTATAACAAAGTAGATTTAGCTAATCTATTGTTTCCTATATGGTTTACCTAGGAAGGCCAACAGTATCTTTCCTCCACTCCAAAATAGGAGGTGGAAAAGAGGCAGAAGCACACAATGAAGGCATTCCTGGATCAGGAAGAAAAGATGGAAAGCTGTAGATATTTTCAGTGTGACTAGAAGCTGCAATGGTTAATCTCTGTCATCACAGGAAACAGCCCAATAAATTTGACATCTATTTTCTTATGTGGAAGGTATAAACATGGTAGAAAGTCACTCATGATCTTCGACAATGATGCTTCCTGATGCTAATATCAGTAGAGCAGTGGTGGGTTGCTCCCGGTTCGCACCAGTTTGCAAGAACCGGTAGTAAGTTCAGAAAACCGGTAATAACATTGGCTGGCCATGCCCCCGAACCGGTCCCCAGCCCGGTCGCCGCTCGCTTACCCCGCCCACCTCATCAGAGGCTTTTTTTTTTTACTTTTAAAAGCATTTTTTCTACAATCTCTTCGGCCGAAAAAATGCTTTTAAAAGTAAAAACAAAAGCCTCTGATGATCGCGCAGCTCAGCTGAAGAGGTTGTAGGAAAAAAATGCCTTTAAAAGTCTCTGGCGATCCCAGCTGAGTTGCCTGATTGTCAGAGGCTTCTAAAAGCCTTTTTTTCTGCAACCTCTTAAGGGTGTAGAAAAAATGCTTTTAAAAGTAAAAAAAAAAAAAAAAAAAGTTGGCCACATTACCCGCCCACCAAGCCATGCCCACAAAATAAGCCACGCCCACAGAACCGATAGTAAAAAAATTTAGAACCCACTCCTGCAGCAGAGCAATTGTAGAAGAATTTTTTACTTTTTTACTTTTAAGAAAGCCCAAGAAGCCTGAAGTTTGTGGAGAAAACAGGAGTCTGCAAAACTGGAAGGCATTCAGCATTAGGTACGGGCATAACAGTAATTGGTCTGAAATTGAAACAATTTGAGTGAAGGGATGAATTTAGGTATTGTAATTAAATTCAGCTGTATGTAAAATTTCAGGTCAATTATTTTGCTGCTAGTTTACCAAATAATGAAGGTGTTGCTTTGTTCAGTCAGTGCAGCTATGTGGTGGAAAAGGACTACTCACTTGTCATAGATTAAATTTTGACAGAATTTATCAGCCAGTAGATTATAAAAGGGCTAATAAAGAAAAAAAGTAGCTGTTTGTAGAGTATCTTGCAAAAGGTTACGTCATTATTATTGAAAAGAAAAAGTGATGACCCAAATTAAGAGTCAGGAAAGCAGATAATTAGAGGTTAGAGTAGGAATCCCATTCTACTCCTAGATGGTACATGTATTAAAATCATGTAAAACCCCATACATGGGGGCATGACACAGTAAGTCAACTGTATCTTAAGGGAAGATGAATTCTATATACCATCCCTTCCTGCAACTGCTGAGCACCATGACCTGGATAGTTTTTAACCTTAATGCACTATATATAGTCATTTAAAGTGTGAAGATCTTTGAGTTCAATTCCCAATAGAATCCCATCAAACCCTATTGAATAACTTCTGGCTGCCAACATCTGATGATTCCCAATAAGGATGAAACTGGTAACGTGGTACTTCTTGGTGGTCAAGATAACTGGGAGATGCCATAAAGTCTGGTGTCAATATAAAATACAGGAAATCCTTGATTTATGATTGCAACTGGGAATCTAGCTTCAATTACTAAGTGATGTGTTTGCTAAGTGAATCATACCCAGGTTTTTGACTTTTTTGGTCACAGACCTTGAGTGAATCAGCATAGTCATTAATCAAATCACACCGTTGCTAAACAATCCTGTTTCTCTCATTGACTTTGCATGTTGGAAGACATTTGAAAACATCACAAACGGCCCCAGGATAATACCACCATTCTAATACATGGGAAATTGCACTCCTTAAAAGCCAACTTTGGAAAAGAAAAATAATAGCCAGATAAATAGACTTAACTTCAGGGACTTAATTTCAAAGTAGAGATCTATAACAAAGTCTGTTTGAACTTTTAAAAATAAGGAAACTGGCTTATTTTTCTAATGTGCATATTTTGTTCTTTTTAAAGCTGCTATGTTAAGTTTAAAGCTGATACTTTAAATTAGATGAATTTTAAAAATAGGTTTTACCTTCTTAGAAGAATGACAAAGAATTAATAATCTTGGCTTCTTAAAGACTGGATGGGGTTCCATCAATAAAGCATGCATCTTATGAGAGTAAAATCCTACTCTATACATTATAGGTGAGAGATAGAAAAGAACAACAAAAAGGTCTCTATGAGAAATAAAAACACTGAACCAACTGTGGTTCCAGAAAGCTTTCTGAGATGAGGGGATGTCACAAGAAGAAATGGAATAGGCCTTTTTTAGAAAATTTATTTATTTATTTATTAAATTTATAAAGCTGTCCAACTCCAGAATGACTCTGGCAACATATAATAATAATATCATTACTACAAAAGATAAAAAGCGAGGTGCATCCAGAAATAAGAGAGGCTAACAATAATACAATAGAGGATCCACCACCCTGTGTAAGTCAACTACCATCAGAATAACATTGAGGTATTTGATATTTGCTAGGTCAGTTATAAAGCACCAGAGAAGCATATCCCAATATCTAAATAGGGAGGCTGTATAACAGGTTTACCTTTTAAGGCTTGGCAAACTGACAGTATGATAAAAAGAAATACTGTTTTTGACATCTGCTCTTATGGAAAGACACCAAGAGTCATACCTCATTGACTATTATGACTGATCTGTAATGTTTCTTCTTTCAAACAAAGGACAACATATAACTGATAATTGTAGTATAATACAATTGCAGCATAATACAATCTTTTATCAAAGAAATGGAGTAGGGAGAAAGCAAAGAATATCTGCTCTTGCTGAATATCCATTTGATCAGTTAAGGAAGGGTTTGGTTGCATTTATGATCAGTTGCAGGATCCCATGGTCATATGACCTTAACTTGTGATGTTTTCTGCCATTTTCCAGCAAAAATATGGATATACTAAATTCACTTAATTGGTTCGTTTAATGACTGTGATTCACTTACTGTTGTGATTTGCTTTACTACCATTGTAAAAACAATTGAAAAATCAGGTCATGTGGTGACCCACTTAATGACTATTTATGACCAAAATTCTGGGCCCAAGAAGACTACCTGTAAATAATAATGTTCAAGGAAAACTAATGAAATACTACAATAATATTGAAAATGATTAAGCTACATTAGTATAAATGAAGGTTAAAATGTGGTTTTGCTTACAGCGCTATCCAATTACTAAATATATATATGATAACTGCCTCTTGATCTTAAAATACTATTATTGTTCCCATATACAAATGAAAGATTAAAAAGGCTATTGGGATTAGGTGGTTAAGCCTCTCTAGGAAAGTGTTTGATAAATTTCTGAAAAACTAAAAAAAAACCTAAAATTTGAATGCAATGGGAATCATCATCATCATATTATTTTATTATTATTGCGTGTGCCTTCAAGTCAGTGTTGACTCCTGGCAACTGCTTGAACATGTCCTTGCAGCTTTCTTTCAGAATTGGTTTGCCATTGCCTCCTGTCTAGGGCTGAGGGAAAGGAACTGGCTCAAAATCACCAGCTTGTTTCATGCCTAAGGTGGAACTAGAACTCATAATGCTCTAGTTTCTAACCCAGTACCCCTATAATGGAAATAGGAGGTATCAATGTGTATGTGGAGAGAGGATCAAGACTGAATAGGTCTTCTTTTCTTCCTTCTTCCTCTTCTCCTCCTCCTCTTATCGTAGGATCTGAAGCAGATACAAAGTTCTGGTTCTTACTTTTCTGGCAGCATCAACCATTGTTAATTGATGATGTTGTTGTAGTGTTGTCTGTCCATCTTCTTCTGGATCTGCCTCGTATTTTTTGACCTTCTCTTTTTTGTATATACCATATTTTTCGGTGTATAAGACACACTTCCGCCCCCCCCCCCAAAAATGGGGGTGGATGGTTCTGGGTCTTTTAAAACAAATGTTGCCAAAACCCCGCCCACCCACCAGCCCCCACCCTTCAACCTCTGCCTCCCAGCAATTTGCCTCCTTGTAGGAAACAGTCTGGTCAGCTTCAGCACAGCCTGATTTAGCACAAGCAGCTGATTGGCAGTTGGATTGGCCTCCCGGAATACCACCGATCAGCTGTTCCAGACTGCAGGGATCGCCGCCGCTGCCACCTATCATTTGCCTCCGCGCACCCCATTTTTGGCCTCATGTCCCATTTTTGGCCTCTGTGCATCCCGTTTTCAGCCCATTCTAGGCAGTGGGGATCGCTGCCACCTCCTATCCCCGCCTGGAACGGGCTGAAAATAGGACATGCGGCAGCTGAAAATTAGGTGCGCAGAGGCCGAAAATGGGGCGATCCCCACAGCCTGGAACAGCTGATCGGTGGTATTCCGGGAGGCCAATCCAACCGCCAATCAGCTGCTCATGCTAAATCAGACTGTGCTGAAGCTAACCAGGGTGTTTGCTTGCAAGGAGGCAAATTGCTGGGAGGCAGAGGCAGATTTTTTTTTCTTGTTTTCCTCCCCAAAGACTAGGTGCATCTTATAGTCCAGCGTGTCTTATAGTCCGAAAAATACAGTACCTTGTGTGGTATGAAATCCTATAACATCCTCTCCAGGTGAGCAAGCCACTTTATTTGCTGTTTTTCTATAATTTAACATTAGTACTATGCCAATTCTTTCTCTTACAGTCTCATTTTTTATTTTACC